CCCCGCCAATTAACAAAATAAGCTCTGAGGTGTTTTATTTCCTGGTGAGACTGTCAGGTACTGCCCTACTTGAGCTGTCTTCTGTCTCTGGTTTGGAAGTTTTAGCAGTAGTCCCCTGCCCTTGTGGTCCCCCACCCCCTGCCATGCTATGGTACCATCTGTTTATGGGGCCTGGGGTCCACCTAATTTTTTTGTTTCTGTACAGTGATGCTTTTTTCATTAAATTGGGAAAATGTTAGCCATTATGTCTATGATATTTTCTTTCCCTTATTATGAGCCATATATCCATCACTACATAAACAACCCTTGTTTATTTGGGTATTTATTTATTTATTTATTTTGAGACAGGGTCCCAGCTGACTTGGAACATGCTATGTAGCCCAGACTGACCTCGATCTCACAGTGATCCACCTGCCTCTGCCACCTGACTGCTTGGACCAAAGGTGTCTGCCACCATGCTCAGCTACCCCGTTGCTTAAAAAAAAAGTGGTTCTTATTGTCCTATTGTTTGTATGATGTGGGAGGTACAGGCATGCTGTGACATGTGTGTGATCAGAGAAGAGCTATGTGGTGTTGGTTCTCTCCTTTGCCATTTATGTGGATTCTGGGGCTGGAACTCAGGTTGTCAGGCTTATACAGCAAGTACTTTGCCCCTGAGCCATCTTTTGGCCCTCTCTCTCTGTTTTTTGTTTTGGTCTTTTTGAGACAGGATCTTCCTATGGTACCAGCTGACCTGGAACTCGCTATATAGCCCAGTCTGGCCTCCATCTCACAGAGATCCACCTGCCCCTGCCTTCCAAGTGCTGGGATCTTCCTGTGTTTGAGACAGAGTTTCCTTCTGTGGCCAAGGCTGTCACTCCAGGCAGGAGTGCCCACTGTCAGCCTTTGGGCTCAGGGTGTCTGTGCTCTAGGTGATCACAGCTGCAAGTGTCAGGCAGAACAGGAAGGCTGGGTCAGCAGCTTTCCTCAGCAGAGTATGAGAGACATTCTACAAGGAAGCAAAGATTGGGCCCTTAAGGTCATCAAAATTGGAGACCTGCTCACAGGCAGGCAGTGACACTCTGGCCTACAGGTGACACATATCCTGTTGGCAAAACCCTGCCTCCCAGTGTGGGAGAGCCACAGCTCCATGGACAGTCCAGGGAAGAGTGGGCCAAGACTAACAGAGAACAGACACCCAGATAGCACACAGTGCTGCTGCCCCCTTGCTGCAAGGGACAGCACCCCGGACAGTGGAGACTGCAGGGCAAGGGACTCCATCAGCAGCACACACATGGACCATCTCCCAGGGAACTCCTCACAGCACTGTGCACTCCCTGGTGGGTTTGGAGGGGTCCCCATAGGTGAAAGTGGCCTCTCCATCATCAGAGAGAGACAGAACTAGAACTGAGCTCTGAACTTGGCCCTGGTGACAGCTAGGGCCAGCGTTTGGAGAACCTGCACTAAACAGGAGATGGCTGATGGGCGGCTGGTGGGAGATGCCCAAGAGCAAGCCAGGCACTTACACCCCTGCTGAGTTATCAGGGGCCCCAGGGATGCCTGCCTAGCAGTGCCCAGCTCTCTGCTAGTGACAGGTGCAGGCCCACTGCGCCCAGGACAGAGGGCTGTGCCTCACCAGGCCTCAAGAGGTCCCTGAAGGCCTTGTGGGGACACTGTCCAGCTGATGGTTGGGGACAGAGGCTCTGACTGACTGAGGACACAGCTGGGTCAATGGGGACACACTGCATAGCTGCCAAGGTGGGAACACACTTCCTTGCTGAGCTGCAGGCAGGATGAAGGGAGCATATAGATGGGGGGTGAGGGGGTGGGGTGGGGGTGAGGGTCTGAAGGTAGCCTTTTGTAGGAATGGCATGGGTGCATTCACATCCACTTGACTCATACCAGGTGAACATGGGCTGAGGGGCTGGAGTGGGGTCTGCCTGGGTATGGCAGGTATGACCCCTGTAGGGAAAGCAGAACCCCTACTAGAGCTGGGCCCACTTCTGGAGGTGCCAGGGTCAGCAGCATGGGGCTGTGGACCACCAGCCATTGCCTCAGTGTGTGTGGCTTTAGGGAGGGTCTCTGTCTTGACCCTTTGGGCCCAAGGGAGCTACTTCCCAGTGGCTAGCTGGGACTTCCAACCAGAAGAGTCACAGGGTGGGGTGTCCAGGGGGCTGACTAGTGGGGGGCCACATGTCAGTATGGGAAGTGTGCTGTGGAGGGTGCACCTCTGGGGTCCTGGCAGGCGGACTGGGTGGTCTTGCTGTGCTGATGATCCCTTTGTCCCCACAGGAAAGAATCTGTATACAAACGAGTACGTGGCTATCAAACTGGTGAGTGTGTGTGTGTGTGTGTGTGTGTGTATGTGTGTGTTGTGTGTGTGTCTAACCCAGTGTGTCTGTGTCTGGCTGTGTGTCTACCCCCGCACAGGTCTGTTCCTTGTCCTGCAGGAGCCCATCAAGTCCCGGGCCCCGCAGCTGCACCTGGAGTACAGATTCTACAAGCAGCTCAGCACCGCAGGTGGGCGAGGCGGGGCGGGGCGGGGCGGGTCCCCGGCGACTCCCACCCGTACTGGCCTCACCCGCGTGTCCCCCGCAGAGGGCGTCCCTCAGGTCTACTACTTCGGCCCGTGCGGTAAGTACAACGCCATGGTGCTGGAGCTGCTGGGGCCCAGCCTGGAGGACCTGTTCGACCTGTGCGACCGCACCTTCACGCTCAAGACGGTGCTCATGATAGCCATTCAGCTGGTACGCGGGCGGGGCCTGGGGCCGGGCGGGGCCTGGGACAAGCTACGCCCCGGCTGAGGCACGGGTCTCCCGCCAGATCACTCGTATGGAGTATGTGCACACCAAGAGCCTCATCTACCGCGATGTGAAGCCCGAGAACTTCCTGGTGGGGCGGCCGGGCAGCAAGCGGCAACACGCCATCCACATCATCGACTTCGGGCTGGCCAAGGAGTACATCGACCCCGAGACCAAGAAGCACATCCCGTACCGCGAGCACAAGAGCCTGACGGGCACGGCGCGCTACATGAGCATCAACACGCACCTGGGCAAGGGTGAGCAGTGCGTGCTCGGCGGAGGTGGGGTGTGCGGGGCCGCGGCTGAGCGCCTGTGCTTCTTCCCGCAGAGCAGAGCCGCCGCGACGACCTGGAGGCGCTGGGACACATGTTCATGTACTTCCTGCGCGGCAGCCTGCCCTGGCAGGGGCTCAAGGTGGGCGGGCAGGGGACCCGGGGAAGGGGGCTGCGGGGGAGTGGAACGGAGGGAGCCCGGGTTGGGGCGGGCCCAGTTGACCCCAGTTCCCACAGGCCGACACGCTCAAGGAGCGCTACCAAAAGATCGGCGACACCAAGCGCGCCACGCCCATCGAGGTGCTGTGCGAGAGCTTTCCAGGTGAGCTTAAGCCCCGCCTTGGGCGGTGCCCCTGCTGACCCTGGCCTGACTCTCCTGGGAGTCAGGCCGCGCTCCCTCTCGCCCCCCACTCGGCCCCGCCCTCGGCCCGGCGCCCCGCCCACTCGGTTTTCTGGCAGAGGAGATGGCCACCTACCTGCGCTATGTCCGGCGCCTGGACTTCTTCGAGAAGCCGGACTACGACTACCTGAGGAAGCTCTTCACCGACCTTTTCGACCGCAGCGGCTACGTGTTCGACTACGAATACGACTGGGCCGGGAAGCCCCTGGTACGTGACAGGGAACCCGAGGTGAGGGGTGCTGGTGAGGAGCCCAATGAGGAGTGTGGATGGGGCCGCCGCAGGTGCTAGAGTGGGGAGCTGTGGGGGGTGGAGTCGGGTGGGTGGGGTTGACCCCGGGTGGGTGGGGTTGACCCCTCCTCAGTGAGGGGTGACAGGGGCCAGGGTTCGTGTCAGGAACTGTCCTGGGGCTGCAGCGGCACCCGTGGGCCCACCCTGTCCTGACATCCGCCCCTGCAGCCGACGCCCATCGGCACAGTACATACTGATGTGCCGGCCCAGCAACCACACCGGGACAAAGCCCAACCCCACAGCAAAAATCAGGTGAGTGCTGCACCAGGGCTTGACCTGGGAGGGAGGGCTGGGGGGCTGGTGTGGCTCTCCAGTCCCAGTGGAGTAGGGCCAGCCTGACGCTCCCACTATACCCTCCAGGCATTGAATTCCACTAACGGAGAGCTGAATGCAGACGACCCCACTGCCGGTCACTCTAATGCCCCCATCGCGGCCCCCGCAGAAATAGAGGTGGCAGATGAAACCAAGTGAGGCTGGGGAGAGCTCTAGTGCTGGGGACCCACCCATGCCCCACCCTACCACCCAGTCACCACCACCCCGTTATCACCCGCAGGTGCTGCTGCTTTTTCAAGAGGCGAAAGAGAAAATCTCTGCAGAGACACAAGTGAAGGCGGGAATGTCTGCAGCCCAAGGACCCCAGGTGTCCAGGAGACTGGCAGAGTCCTCAGCATTCCCTGGCTCCCTGGCCCAACTCTGGGCACCGTACCCCGGGCCATGGGGTCACTTGGTTCACGTAAGACTTTGGTGGAAATCTCTACACCTGTCTCTCGGCCCCTCCAAAAGCATTAACTATTTAAAACCAGGAGGAGAGGAGCGCTGCACTGACCCAGCTGCGCCCCCATTAGCTCATAAAGTCCAGCTTGTCCCCCCATCCAAAGGCCATTTTCTCCAAAGAGGGGGGCAGGCCCACGGCTGGGGTGTCAAATGGGGAGGCTTTGGCCTCCACCACCAAAGGGGAGGCGCTTGCTACCACCATATTGCACCAAAGCTGGGCGTAGAGTGGGCCGGTGACCCTGGGGGACTGGCCGGGTAGCCTGGGTCCCAACAACCCAGGTTGGCCATGACTGGGCCCCTGCCAGGCCTGGGGGACAGAATCGCCTTAATGCCAGGCCCTGCCCGGGGCAGCAGAGGTGGCACCTTGGTCCTCAGGGGAGGGTCAGGTGGGTGCCGGCCGGGTGGTCCTGGGAGTGGAGTTCTTGCTTCACCAAGTGTACAAAGAGGACATTCATGTTTCTCCAACGCTTCCTTGAAGCCATAGAATTTAGGGGCTTTTTTAAAAAAATAATAAAAAGGAAATCACTCTGGAGGGTAAAGCCTGGTGTTTCCATGGGGCACAGTGGTCAGGGGCTCTGGGTACAGGAGGGACCCAGTGTGGGAGCTGGGCACTGGATACTTTGTGGGAAGATGAAGAACTGGGAGGGACCCGGGACCAGGCTGGGATGCCCAGAGCCAGAGGAGAGTTAGAGAGGCCACTCTCTGCCATGAGGACCAGGAAGACCAGAGCTGCTCCCAAAAAGATGGAGGGGACCTGGGCAGTGGTCTGGCCTCTGCCCTCCTGCAAAGTCTGGCCTAAAACCCATGTCCTGCTGACAAAGACCACAAGACCCATAGGGCCTGGAAGGAACATTGCTGGGGAGGGTTAGCCACCCAAAGTTCTGAACTCAGAAGCTCAGGCTCAGTGATGCACGCCTTCAGCCTCAGCACTCCCAGAGGCAGGTAGATCTCAAGAAAAAAAAAGATGCAGTCACACAGGGTGAAGAACTCCTGACCAGCTAGAATGGGAAATAGCTGGTCATATTCAACTAGCTGCAGATGGCACTTAGGTGGTAGAGAGCTGCCTTCTGCAGGCTGAGGCCCAGAGCTTTGACTCCAGCCTCAGGGGTAGAAGATTCAGGAAGAAAATATAAAAAATAAAACAAAAATGTCTGTATTGTCCTTGTAGTTCTGCAGGACAGAACCCAGGGCCTCACTGAAAGACACCAGACTCTGAACATAGGAGAAAAGACCTGGAGGTAGGCAAACCAAGACTGAGAAAGCTTGGGCAGCGTGTGCTAGTTAGGTTTCCTTAGCGTGACAGACACAACTGGGAAGTGGAGAGCCTCAGCTGAGGAATTTCTTCCATCAGATTGGCCTGTGGGCATGTCTGTGGGGGATTTTTTTTTTCCATTTATTTACTTGAGACAAGGTCTCCTATAACCCCAACTGACCTGGAACTTGTTTTGTAGACTAGTGTGGCCTCAATCTCACAGAGGTTTACCTGCCTCTGCCTCCCAAGTGCTGGGATTAAAGATGTGAGTCACCAATGCCTGCTATTTTTATTTCGTGAGTGTTTTGCCTGCATGTATGTAAGTGCACTGGGTGTGCAATGCCTATGAAGGCCAGAAGAGGGCATCAAATTCCCTGGAACTGGAGTTACGGACAGTTGTTAGCTACCATGTGGGTGCTGGGAACCAAACTCAGGTCCTCTGCAGGAGCAGCCAGTGCTCTTAACTGCTGAGCATCTCTCCATCTCTCCCCCCAATGGAGCATTTTCTTCATTGCTAACTGATGTGGGCGTTGCCATCCTTGGACCTTGGTCATACAGGAAGGGTAGCTGAGGGACTGGTTAGTGTTCAGTCAGAACACAGAAGCAAACTGGGACAGCTGGCTCAGCAGGTAAAGGTGCCTGCCCACAAGTCAAGGACCTGGGTTTGATCTTTGATATCGAGGTCTGCTTGGTCTACATAGAGTTCCAGGCCAGCTGGGGCTACAGGGAGACCCGTCTCAAAAAGACCAAAAAATAAAAAGACACCTTCAACATTCAGGGCGCCACTCTTGTCCTCAGGAGACCAGTCAGCTCTCCCAGAACTGGATCAGGTCAGATTATGTCTTCAAGGTGCTGGGTTAGTCACCACCAGAAAAGTGTTATAAAGCACTCTTCCTTGAGAACCTGCCTCATGAAGCCTTCCACAGAAAGCCCAGTGGACACCAGCACCAGGGCTCAGTGAGTCTTGGAGTGGGGAGGTGGCTCAGCATAGGTGGGTAAAGCACTTTCTTACCCAGTGTGAGGGCACAAGTTTGAATCCCCAGAAAGCTGGTCACAGGACTACCCCAAAGGGACAGAGACAGGACTGTCTGGAGCCTGCAGGCCAGCTAGCTTGGTGAGCACAGCAATGAACAAGAGACCCTCTTGAGGAAGGCAGGGAGATGAATGACCAGTTGTCCTCTGATCTCTACATGTATGCCATGTATGTGCACACACTAAAGCCTCCTCTTACAGCTCACCCACATGGTTTTTTTGCATCAGCAACAGAACATGAACTAATTTTTCCTGTTTCTCTTTATAATAGGCTTATTTGTTTTGCATGGGTGTGGGTGGGTGCAAATGGGCCACATACACTTACAAAGGTCAGAGGACATCTTTTGAGAGTTCTCCCAACATAGGACCTGAGGATCAAAGGCTTGGGAACAAGCACCTTTATAGGCTGAGCCATCTTGTCAGACCCCAGCTGTTACTGGTAGTCTGCCTACAGTTTACTATCTGCTGTGGCATAGCAGCCCTGTTGGGGACATGCTGGCTGGCCTCTGCTCTGAGCAGGGAACACCTCTCCATTGTTTCTTTGCATCACTCCTATATAAATGGATTTGAGAAGCTACAGCTGTGACTCAAGGTAGAATGCTTATAGCTCAGTGGGTGAAGCACTCACCTAGTTCCTGTGTTCATCCCCAGCACCACATAAACCAGGTATGGTGGTGCACAACTGTTATCCCAGCACTGGGAAGGTGGAGGCAGGAGGATCAGCAGTTCAGGGTCTGCCTCAGCTGCATAGTAAGTTCAAGGCCACCTGGGCTACATGATACATGAGACTCTGTATCAAAGAAAAAAAAAACTTCCTTCGTAGCCCAGGCTGGCCTTGAACCCTTGACACACCTGCCTCCACCTTCACAGTGCTGGGATGACAGCTGTACACCCTTAAGCTCAGCTCCGTGGTCTCAAGACCTTGTCCCAATGCCTGGCCTACCCACTCCCCTCTATGCTCTCTGGGGAGGGTGCCAAGAGACTGTCCTTAAGCGAGCAAGCACTGGTAGCTGGTGTGTCCACCTCCCAGCCACTAGGCACTCGTGTGAAGCAGTACACAGCAGCTCAGGATGGGTATTTATTTAAAAAAAATCATTTGGGGATACTGTGGGGTGGCTCACCTCCCATGGCTTTGGGGAAGACATAGGCTCTGGGAGGGAGGAGTCATTGGGACACAGACATGGGGAGAGGGGATGGGGGTTTGCAGGGAGTATGCCTTCGAGGCATATCTGAACAGGTGCTTGGCCTGGAGGGCCAGGGCTGCGGTATGTACAGGGAGTGGTGGGTGGTACCCCTGGGTGCCACATCAGGCCAGCAAGGGGTCCAGAGCATCTCATGGGCCCATCCAGCAGCAGCCCTGCAAACCTGGGGTTGAGCTCCATTGGCCACATGGGAGGGACTTGGCCCATCTGCTGACCCAGCATGACCCAGCAGCCCAGAATTCTGCATGGACCAGCATGATCCAGCAGCCCATAATTCTGAGGATTGCTCCCTCAGTGCCCTGCAGGTTGGGGTGGCCTCAGGTGGATGGCAGGCTGGGCCCCAGGGTCCCCAGGGGAGTGGAAAACAAGAACAGGAGACCCAGATCCACGGCTGGAGAAGCGACGCACTTGTGTCTCCAGCCCAGTGGGTTCCAATGCATTGCAGTGTGCAGGTGAGAATGGCCAAGTAGCCTGGCCAGGGCACCCTGGGCACGGGCTGGCCCACCCTGAGCTTGAGGGATCAGGGTAGGAGCCGAACCTGGACCCACCTCCCTTGGCCCCCGGCTCTCCATCGAGGTCAGGCCCAGCTCTGCCCCCTAAGGCTGAGGGATTGTCTCCACCCGGCACAGCCCATGGCCCCCGGCTACCTCCCAGTGGAGGGGGATGCCTGTCACCGTAGACACAGGGAGGCCCCTCAGTGGTGCTGGGGGAAGCGGCAGGGAGGGAGGCTGGCAGGCACGGCGAGGGTGAGTGGGTGGAGGGGGCTCGGCTATGGCCGTCCCTAGGTATAGAAGATGACCTCGGGGATCTGCCCGTCCTCCACTGACGTGCCGTTGTTGTTACCCGCTGCGTAGCAGAAGGTGAAACAGGTCTTGGCCCCTGTGGTGGGCGACTCGTGAGTCACCTTGCGCAGGCCTTTGGTGCCATAGTGAGAGTCGGGGCCCTGGCAGGAAGGAGGCACAGTGAGGTGGGTTGAAGCAACAGAAGGGGCACAGGGCACAGGCAGGCACCCACCTTGAGTGTGGCGCAGGCAGTGTAGTTCACGTTGGGTAGGATCTCCACAGGCTCCTTGAACATCACACGGAATGTGCTGGCTGAGCCGTCGCAGCTGAAGCCTGTGTCATTCTGGCCGAGGACTGTGTTGCTATCCGTATGGATGATCTGGGGACAGAAGGTCCTCAGTGGTGGGTGGATGTGGAAGGGACCTGAATATGGGGCCGGGTGTGCTGTAGGTGTGGTCTGAGTGGAGGTCAGGGCCCAGTGTGGACATGGTGTGGGATGGGGCTGGTGGGGGAAGACCCTGGTGTGGGCATGGCCTACCTGTGAGAGGGGCTGGCACAGGCAGGGCCTATGTGGGTGGGACTGGCATAGACTGGGCTGTGACATACCTGTATGTTCACCTGGTAGTCAGTGGGCCCATGGATGGACCCATAGAGCCCAAATCCCACCACAAAAATGCGCTTGTTGACCGAGAACCTGCAGAGAGTTGACAGTGGCTGAAAGGTCAACATCCAGAGCTCCTGAGGTTGAACAGCTGAGGATGCCAAACTGAGGGTAGAGGGTGCCATCTCCATCCAGGACAGACTGCTTTTCTTTGGCCCACAGTCCCATCCACCTCAGGTCTCTGCTGCCCCTCCCGTCTCATGAGCCATTGAGGCCTGCACCCGCTGAGGCCAGGCCCACCTCCCTAGTCCCCAGGCCCCACCCTTCACCTCCCCAGCCCACCTGCCACAGCCCTCACACCTGATGCGGTCACTGGTTCCACTGTAGCCCCAGCGGCTCTCCACCTGCTGGAAGCGGTTGATGCTACACTCCTTGCCCCGCAGGCAGCAACGGGGCCGATCAATGAATTCCACCCGAGGCTTTGGGTTGACAGTGAAGTGCAGGAAAAGGCTGACCACCTCGCGGTCCACCAGGATGCCGGACTGTGCAGGGCCTGTGGGTGGGCAGAGAGTTGGCTGGCAGCAAAAAGGGAAGGGAACCCCAGGCCCCAGGTACACGAGTGGATGCTTGTGATTTTCAGAGTTCTGGCAGGACACCTCCCCTGGACCTGCCACTGTGTCCTTGAGTTCTGGTATTCAGTATCTACAGACCCCTTTCCCGCCCAGATCCCAGGGTCTTGATGCAGAATGCTCAGCTTCATTGGACAGAGCTTGTATCCTGCCTGCCCATGCATGGGGTCATGAGCCAGCTTGAGGCTGAACCCTGAGTGGCTGAAAGAATAGAACCCCAAGACATGGGGACCCCAGTGCCTCAAGCAGGGCCTCCACATCACCTCCTGGTGGATGAGAGGCACGGGGGTAGCAAGAGCAGGCTGCTGGAGGCCATGGGGGTGGGGGTGATGGCTCCTACCCCTGCCTGTTACCTGCAGCAAACTCTTCGATGGTCATTAAGGGGAAGCGGATGAGGCCCAGGGCTTTGCCTAGCACCTTCCTCTTGTTCTCGGGTGTCACCTGCAGCTGCTGCCGTTGGCACTCAGCCTCTGACCAGCGAACAACTGCGTTGAACAACCGCACCTCTCGGATGCCCAGGGTATCACGCTCCAGCACTGCCACCAGGGTGTCTGTGGCAGAGAGGGTCCGTGAGCTGGGGACCCTGCACAGAGCCATGTCAGCTGTGTATGTGCAGGCCCTATGTGGGGATCCCTCACAGCCAGAGCCTGGAAACTGTAGCCCTCTGTCCATGTTTGGCAATAAAGTTTTATTGAGACATGACCCTCCCTAACCACCATCCTTTTTCCTCCCTCCTTCCTAAGGCTCAGGCTGGCCTCACACTCCCTATGTAGCCTAGAATGACCCTGAACTCCTGATCCTCCAGCCTCCACCTGCTGGGATGACAGGCAGGCACCACTGTTCAAGTAGTGATCACAGTGACCCAGGACAGGAAGGCCAGTCCTCAGACCCTGGCCAAACCCAGCCACTGAGCCCCAGTGTTGCAAAGGGAAGTGGGTCTCCCTTTAGGATCTCCAGCCCAACCCAAACCAACATGATCCCTGCCTCTGGGGCCCTCCCACACTATACCTCCACTGTGCTCACCCAGGTCGATGTCAGTGAAGCCCTCGGCAGCAATGGCGTCCGAGGTGTTCTTATCTATGCTCTCTAGACACAGGCTGGCTAACTGTGGCTCATCGAAGAGCCGTGCCTGGAAAGAGATGAGGGAGAGGTCAGCACCAGCTGTGGGTCAGACCCTGACAGGCCTGTTACTCCACCCAGATGAAAGCCCACTGTGGCTGGCACGATGGGCATACCAGTCATTCCAGCACTGGTGAGGTAGGAGGATTGAGAATCTGAGACTAGCCTGGGCTACATGAGACCCTACTGCAAAAGCAACAATAAAGCCAGTGAGAGGGCTCAACAGATAAAGGTGCTTGCTGCCAAGACTAACAACCTGAGTTTGGTCCCCAGGACCCATATAGTGGGGGAATACATACACACGTCATATACACACATACAACGAATAAAATCAGGAAGTCCATGAGAGTCTGGGGAAATGACTCAGTGGGTCAGGGCTTGCTATACTTGAGGACTTGACTTCAGATCCCCAGAACCCACATGAAAAGCTTGGCGTGGGGGCCAATGAAATGGCTTAGCAAGTAGACGGGCTTGCTGCCAAGCAAGTTGTCCTCTGACTTTGTGTGCCCCATGGGACACCCACACTCACACATACATGCACACAAATAAATAAAAATGTCATTTAACCAGGCTAGCTGAATCTGTGAGCTTCAGGTTAAATATAGACCCTGTCTCAAAAAACAAGGTGGAGCCAGGTATGGTGGAGCTTCCCTTTAATCTCAGCAGTCAGGAGGTAGAGAAGAGATCAAGGTCAACATATCAAGTTCCAAGTCAGTAAGCCAGTTAAGGCTATTAGGGCTACAGGGAGACCATGTCTCAAAAAAACAAAAAAACAAAACAAAAAAAAAACCCAACTAAGATACACAAGGGGCTGGAGAGCTGGCTCATCGGTTAAGAGCACTGGCTGCTCTTACAGAGGACCCGGGATTGATTCCCAGCACCCACATGGCAGCCAACAACCATCTGTAACTCTAGTTCAGGGGATCTGATGCCATCTTCTGACATCTGCAGCCTTTGCAGGATACGGGTGCACTTACATTCATGTGCAGGCTTACACTCATACACATAAAATAAAAATAATAAAATATTTTTAAAAGAGTGTTAAAAAAGCCAGGCGTGGTGGCACACACCTGTAGTCCCAACACTTGGGAGGCAGAGGCAGGCAAATCTCTGTGAGTTCAAGGCCAACCTGGTCTATATAGAGAGTTCCAGGTCAGCTGGGGCTACCTGGGGAGACCCTGTCTCAAAAAGATCCCCCCCCAAAAAAGCCACCCTGCTTAAGTATCTGTGCAACCCCCTTCAAAACTGCATTATTCACAACAGCCAAGGTCTACATAGTGAGTTCCAGGACAGCTTGGGCTACAGGGAGACCCTGTCTAAAAAAGACCAAAAAAAAAAAAAAAAGATACACAAAAAACAAGGTGGAGACAGGCATGATAGTACATGACTGTCACCCTGGATTCAGGAGGCTGAGAGAGGACGGTCAAGAGTTTGAGAGCAGTCTGGGCTACATAAAAATTTGCCTCAAAAACACCAATAACAAAAATGCCAGGGGTGGTGGCAGACATCTTTAACCCCAGTACTCAGGAGGCAGAAGCAGATGGGTCTGTGAAATGAAGGCCAGTCTGGTCTACATAGGGAGTTGCCTAGGTCAGCCAGGGCTACATAGTAAGACCCTGTCTCAAAAAAACAAAACAAAAGCCAAAAACAACAACAACAACAACAAATAAAACCAAAATACTAGTAATACAGGAAGTGACATGAAATGAAATAGAGCAAGGTAGAGAGTGACTGAGAAAGCCCTGGGTGTGACAAAGGGAAGGAGACACACTACGTGAGCTCAGGGAGGGGCCTGCCACCTTCCTCCTGCCCTGGTCCCCACCCAGCCATTCTGCACCCCCATGCACCCCACACCACATCCCTGTCCACCTGGGTGAGCAACATGAAGGCATTGTCGGCCCGCAGGTTCTTCTTCAGGAACTCCACGCAGTGCGCCTCAAGCGCCGGCACTGCATACTTCTTGGCAGTGTACAGTGTGGTCATCACAGTCTCTGGCCCAATCTGCACCTCATCTGAGTAGAGGAACCTGAGCCAGAGACACAGGCCAAATGTGAGGTCCACAGAACCCAGTGACCCACCACCATCAGACCCGGCCAACACCACAGGGTGGTGAAGGGGTGGCTGAGGAACCTTCTAGAATCAGCATCGGTTGGTGTACTGTGACACCACTTGGGAAGGCCAGGCTGTCACCAGGACAGGTTATGCACAGACCACCCTGGGCCAGTTCGGGCTTGGAGTGCAGGTCACAGCAGGGCCTGGGGCCCCTCAGCCAAGGTTGGGAGGGAATCAAAGCAGTCATGCCCATCTCAGGCAAAGGCCAGTGTCTCCTGAGTGTCCATACCACGTGAACATAGGCCAGAGGTGGGAATGATTAAAAGAAAAACTGGGGCTGGATGTGGTGGCACATGCCTTTAATCCCAGCACTCAGGAGGCAGAGGCAGGAGGGTCTCTGTGATTTCAAGGCCAGCCTGGTCTATATAGTGAGTTCCAGGCCAGCTGGAGCTATAAGACGACCAAAAAATATATATATATATATTTTTTTTTTTATTTTTATTTTATGTATATGAGTGTACTGCCTGCATGCGAGTGCACCCATGTCGTGCAATGCCATGGAGATCAGAAGAGGGCTTCAGATTTCCCTTGAACTGGAGTTAAGGACAGTTTGTAGCCGCCATGTGGGTGCTGGGAATCAAACCCAGGTCCTCTGCAAGAGCAGTCAGTGCTCTTAACTGCTGAGCCATCTCTCTAGCCCCCAAAAGATTTATATTTTGTATGTATGTGTGTGTGCCTGTGTGAATTTATGTGCACTATGTAATGCCCATGGAGGTCAGAAGAGAGCATTGGATCCCTTGGAACTGGAGTTATAGCCATTAGCCACTATGTGGGTGCTGGGAACCAAACCCAAGTTCTCTGCAAGAGCATCCAATGCTCTTAAGAGCTGAACCAGCTCTCTAGCCCCCCTTACAATATCTTAATGCACAGGTCTTATCTGGGTATGTTCTAGGACTTTTCATTGCACTGTGAGCTCTGAAGCTGATGTGGCCAGGGGTCTGTCTTTTCCATATTCTGCCCTGCCCTCCACTGTCAGAAGGATCTAGGAGCTTACTTGAGCAATGCCAGGAAGGCAGCAGGTTCCACGTCAGGCAGCTCGATCTCAGTGGATGTGGTGGCCATCCCCCCGTTGAACATCGCGTCAAAAACGGCGCTGCCCACGGCCAGCACAAACCTGGGCCAGAGAGAGATGTCTACCTGTTAGCCTTGCTCTTGGCCACATGGCCTGTCACGGCCTGCCCACAGAGTCCCAGCCTACTGTAGCAGAGGCCTGCCCAGGACAGGGATCCTTCCAGGAGGGCAGGGGGGCAGGGCCAGGGAGACCAGAGGATACAGGAAAGGGCAGCTCTGTGGTCTCTGACATCAGCTCATTCATTCCCTCACCCTCCCTCATTCATTCATTCCCTCACCCTCACACTCCCTCATTCATTCCATCACCCTTGCACTCCCTCATTCATTCATTCCCTCACCCTCGCACTCCCTCATTCATTCATTCACTCATCCTCGCACTCCCTCATTCATTCATTCATTCCCTCACCTTCGCCCTCATTCATTCATTCATTCCCTCACCTTCGCCCTCATTCATTCATTCATTCCCTCACCTTCGCACTCCCTCATTCATTCATTCCCTCACCCTCGCACTCCCTCATTCATTCATTCCCTCACCCTCACATCCCTTCATCCCCTCACTCACTCCCTTCCCCCTCTCCCTTCTCCAGGTGCTGATGGGAGTCAGAGGGGCGTGACCACTGTCATACAAGGCAGCAGACAGGTCTGTGGGGCAGAAAGGCCCAAGTCAGATTAAGAGGACGTGGCAGCAGGGACTACGGGCTAGGGAAGGGTGTTGGAGCTCAAGGAATGGCAGGGGCAAGGGAGAGCATTGGGAGGCACTGGGAATGGGGAGGAGACAAGCAGGTGCCAAGTTGGCTTTTTTTTTTTTTTTGGTCTTGGCACAAGGAAGGACACACAGGGGATCAGGGGGGCTTGTAAGAGTCTTAAGCTCTGGGGCTGGAGAGATGGCTCAGCAGTTAAGAGCACTGACTGCTCTTGCAGAGGACCCGGGTTCAATTCCCAGCACCCACATGGTGGCTACAAACCATCCTTAACTCCAGTTCCAGGGGAATCCAAAGCCCTCTTCTGACCTCCAAGGCATTGCACGACACATGTGAACTC